CTAGGTGTCATATATTTTCCTGACCATGCCCAGAGATCAATTATGCTCTTTATGTGTCATGTTCAATGTAATAGCATGTGTAAGATGTTCCTATTTTTGGTGATATTGGAGCTTGGAGAAAATCTCACTGAACCTTAACTGCTTTTGCCGTAGAAATAGCAGCACAATGTGGAAATAGTAGTGCAATCTAATTGTGCACCGTGTCCTTAGTTCCTGCATGGGACATGACCATAGTTGATGAGTTTCTCATTCAAGTAACCCTCGACCTCATAAAATTGGGCTCGTACTTGAAGCCCACCCTTTATAATGCCAGATTTTTTTCTCATTTTCAGCCCATGCAGTTAACTTATATCTAGTTTTAAAGCAGTGTTTTAAAAGAATCAATTTCATGGTGAATGCATCTAGTCAAACAAGCCATTTAAACAACATCTTACTCGTGTGTAGCAGACCATTTTACAAGTACCTGATAGTTTTACAACCTGTGTTTCAGACAGGGTAATTGGTTGTCTCTGATATGTGAGTTTGGACTTAGACTCATTAACTATTTTTCAGTGAAGAGAATATTTCACAGCCAAGTTTGTTCAATACCAGGCACTGTTTGTGATGCCAGCTGTATTTGCAGTATGTGCTATATTGCAAATAGGGTATAAGAGAAGAATTTTAACTTTGAGGCACAAATAAATTAATGTTGTATAACTACCCTTCATATTCCATTAGACTGGATGTTTCTCATAATATATCTAACGATAATGTTTACTATTTTATCAAAACTGTCACAGTTTCTTAATCTGCATGTTTTTACACATTTATTCAAATAACATGTTGGCTGCATTTGGACATAAACAATAAGCAAGAAGACCTATTAATATTTGTTTATAATTATGCATGTTGGTATACATTGCTTATTGGCATTCATTGTTTGATCATTCCTACTTGAATCCTTTTCATATTAAGAATAGCTAAATCAATCAGGGGTTCTTGAGGGAGGAAAGCTTCCCATTATTTTCAAACCTAGACACTTGCCTATTGCCACCCAACAAATAGCCTGAAAAAACAAAATAGTGTCAAAACCTGGTTTCAAATATGGTTTTAGAGGATCAACAAATGTGCATGTAGTTCATAGTTGCAATACAAAACAGAAATAACAGTACAGTAGACCGTATCCATGGATTTGGCATCCATGAATTCAACTATCCACACCTTGAAAATGTTCCAAAAAAAACCCTTCAACAAGCAAACCTTTTAAATAAGGGACATTTCACTCCACTAGTGGTTCTCAGCCTACGGTCTGGAGAACCCGGGGAGGGGGATGATGTCGTCACTGGGGGTCCACGAAGGATTACATTATTAAATTATTAACAATTATTTGTGTTGATACTATTATTTTAAAATTTTGATGGCATCTTATACTCAAAATATTATATTCCGGCTATGAAAGCCTTCGACAATACTTTTATGTTCTCTCCTTGGAGGCTGCTGAGTTAATGGGACTTGAACATCCATAGATTCTGGTATCTGTGAAAGATCCTGGGGGGGAAAGGGCCAATGGATATCAAGGGCCACTAATTCACTTTTTAGAAAGAGATCAGAAAGTGTCCTTAAGAACTGTGTGATAACATTTTTACTAGAGTTGCTAAGAGCAAAAATGAAAACATTTTTTCTTAATGCAGCAGCAGCTATCATGAGCAGGTTGTCAATATAACAAGGTGTTGTCTGATTATCAAAAGTGTATATTTAGCATGATTAGTAATGATTTTGCATAATTGGCAACTGGCTTAAATGTTTTCCTTTAAGAACATAGTGTGCTTTTTAGTAGAAATTGGTGTTTACTACTACTTGAAAATCAGCTTCTGCATTCTGATAACAGAATAGCTGGCATTGCTTCTGTTTTCTTTTTACATGCCAACTTCCCAGAACAGTAATGCTTTTTCTGTGGCTGCACTTTGTATAAAAGCTCTACTCCTTAATATGTGCAAATTAGTCTTGTTGCCAGATGGTAGTCTGCCTGCCTGAGTAAGTAAAAATATCCCTATAGTTAGTAGGGCAGTGAATATTGGTCTGTCGAGGGAGGCCGCGGGTGCTAGGCATTCTTTACATTAGTAGTTTGTGGAAAATCTCAAGTTACTCACCCATTTTTTGTCAGCTTAGCACCAGCTGGCTTTATTATCAAGTGGCTCCAGTGGAACTGAGTTTTATTTCTTTGTACAATTTTGGCTTCGACTCTGAATGTACTTGTCAGATTGTATTTGCTGAAACAAGCCCCAACAGCCCTTCATATTGCTTAAAGGGTATAATGAATGTACCAATATCATACTTCCGTTTTCAGCTGTGTAGAGATTGTAGCAGCTAGCTATCCATGTCATTATTCAACAATTCAAATTCCTTAGTAGGAAATTGGTGGGCCAATATTGTGAAATCAAGACCCTAAGTGGGTTGCATGACTTTAATTAGAAAGTTGGATCCGGACTCCTCTCTTAACCAGAGTTTCACCCCATTTAAATTCATGTGACAAGTCTATCATGACTAATACAAGTGATACTAGAAAACCTAATGAATGAAATCTGACTCTAACTCAATGAATATTGATCTTGAAATTAACTATGGTAGAATCTAAGGGTTTTCGAAGGCTTTCATGGCCTGAATCACTGGGTTGTTGTAGGTGATTTGGGCTGTATGGTCATGTTCTAGAAGCATTCTCTCCTGACGTTTCGCCTGCATCTATGGCAGGCATCCTCAGAGGTTGTGAGGTGTGTTGGAAATTAGGAAAATTGGGTTTATATATCTGTGGAAAGTCCAGGGTGGGAGAAAGAACTCTTGTCTGTTTGAGGTAGGTGTGAATTGGTCACCTTGATTATCATTTGATGGCCTGACAGTTTTTAGGTGTGGCTTGTACTGCCCGGGAGAATCCTTTGTTGAGAGGTGATATATAAACCCAATTTTCCTCATTTCCAAAAGACCTCACAACCTCTGAGAATACCTGCCATAGACGCAGATGAAATGTCAGAAGAAAATGCCATACAGACCGAAAAACCTACAACAACCCCATCTAAGGGTTATTGTAGAAACTATAACTGCATATGGTATTATCACCATCACCATCATCATCATAATTTTTATTTCTTTTCTTACCTACCTCTCCTCAAGGCTTTAGGCGGGACACAACAGTTAAAAACACAAAATTCTAAAACAGTTTACAAAATACAAGTATTAAAATGTATTTCTATGGAATACATATATTAGAATACGCAGCAAATACATATATTAGAATATGCAGAATACAGTACACACAAGATATGGATTTAAAATTCATGTCATTGAGAGTAATAGGCAGTCAGTATCACTCCAACCTTGAAGTGTCAGGCTATTAAGAGGAATTCTGCAGTATCTCATTTGTACAATAACCTTTGAATTTTTTAAATATGAAAATATATGTGTAGAAATTCACAGATAATGCTTGTTGTGCTAAAACCAAAGAAAGTGGTTGAAAGGGTTAAGGATTCTGTGTTAAGGCAGGTAATCAGTACCTTTCCCCCTGAAGGTTTTGGGCTACAACTCCCACAATCCTATCCTACATGAGGTTTATGGGAACTGAAGTACAAAACATATAGGGTTCTCATTTCTGCTCTGTGTAATTGGTTGAATCCAATATAGCGCAAGTGCAGTGGAAATCCTCTAATTTTTACTGCATTCTTTTGTTATCCTGAAAATCCAATTCTGAAGAATTCTCCAAGGACTCTCACGTGAACCTTATGGAAAGTAGTGCATTGCAATACAATACAATGAGAGACTTTTAAAATATTTTTAAACATTGACTTGTACAACAACTTTATAATATATTAAAATCAGATTAATTATGTGAAATGAAATATCTAGGATGATTGCTAGAGTATTGAGGTGCTTGAGGAATTTGAGTTTAAGTCCAGCTGGAAATCAAGTACAGTTGTCCCTCTACTTTTGCAGTTTTGACTTTCGTGGATTTGGTTGTTCATAGATTTGATTTGAAATATTCTCTCTAGAAATCTCTTGGTCCTCTCATATGACTATGCTCAATTTCCTCCAGTGATGCTGGAGGATTTAGAGATTTCTAGAGATTTCTAGGATTATTTAAATCCTCCAATATGGTTCTGTCTTCAGCTTCCAGTGGAAGTTGAGCATAGATTTATTCTGGAAGACCTAGAGATTCCTAAAGAGGCGTTCTCTTGGGTAAACAAAGTAGCAATTTCTTTATGGTTTGTTTGTTCGTTTGTTTTTGCTTTCACAGGAATCTTGTGCCCTTAACTCCCGTGATTGTGGAGGGGTGGGTGTACTTTTATTGGTGTGTGAATTAGAACTTGGTTAACCTACCACCCAAAAGCTAATCTACATGGTTAATCTACCAACTATCACTATTCTCAGCTCCAAAAACTATCAAGATAAATATGCATATGTTGAAAAAGATATTATTAAGCAAAAAAACCATTGTTTACTATTTCTTTATCTTATTGTGATAATTCCCAAACACACAAAACATCTGATTTCATGGAATAAAGAACTCAAAGAAACTGTTTCTCTCTTCAGGGAAATGCAATTTATCATGATCTCAAAATCTGATAAATTTATAATGATAATAAAACTAAAAGATGCACGTAGATGGTAACAATCAGAGATTAAGGTTAATTCCGAAGTTGAAACTATGCTGTTCATAAAAGCTGCTTATTGGACGTCTGTTTCATTGTGTTCCATGAATTTTGTCAACACAGTTTCCCTTGGTGGATATCGTATGTACATATAACTCTTCCGTACACATACTTTTATGCTTTTAAATATATGGATAGGATGACAGCTGTCATTCACCATTAACGAAAACACTTACTGGTCACAGTATATCACTTCTCTTTCAGAAACATCTTGGAAGCAATTTGAAAAACCAGCATTCTAGATTCTTCCAACACTTCTTGTTTTTATCACATTTCAGTCAAAGAGTGTGGGTGCCAACTAATTTTTCTTATTGTTCCTTCTAGATCAAAAAATATTTGGAACTTGAACCACTTGCACGAGGAAAGCGCTGGATACTTAAGCCCTGTTCATTGGACAACATGGAAGCCGTAAAAGACAGCTTCGGCCTACTGATAAATTTACTAGAAGACAGAGAGCTCGAACCTTCAAGAATCTGAAAAAAAAAACTAGAATGGTTCGCAGATAGCATTGTACCTGTTTCTTTGGCTCACCGCTGGAAAATGATTTGATATAAGGAAGATTATGTTAGAGCTTGCAATAAATATATTTTTGCATTTGGTTTGGAAAGGCTGTTTATACATTCTGTGAATCAGGTATGTGATTCTTTTCAGTAAAGTTGCCTGTGCTACTGAAAGAGGAGCTCATCTTGCCCAGAAAGAGATGTGCTCGTTGTATGCCATTTCCCTCCATTGTCATCAGAACTGTAATGTGGAATTTGGTTGCATGTATAAAATGTAAAACCAGATATAAATGGACACCAAAAGCTATCCTGAAATTATATTCACTGAGAACCAGTTTATTCTTGAAACCAATGTATGAATTCCTGATGCAAAGACTAATTCAGAAGCCTTATTAAGTGCAGACACCTTTAACACTTTGTTATAGAGAACCAAACCATTGATGTAAGAGTAGGCAAGGCAAACACAATGGACATATCAGTATTTTGTTATGAATTTGAAGCCTCTTAAATGCAAAGAAATAGCCTTTGTAAATGTAAATTACGCAGATGAATGTGTAAACTGTTGATAAAGTGAAGGCTAAAAACAAAACACAGGTTTAAGAAATCACTGGATGTATTCTACATAACTAGTATTATGCTAGAACTCCTAGGCCACAGACTTCTTTTTTAAAAGTCATTGTCGTTGAATTGAATTGAAATTGTCTATCTGTGTTTCTTAACTACCCCTATTTTCAGGGGCTCGGATTTGTTTCGTAGTTTTTATTGGGATGGTAGATTTTTTGTTATGGTTGTTGTTGTTGTTGTTGGTATATGTGACAGCACTCCGCTTAGTTCTAAAAAATATATCCCTTTCCCAGCATTACTCCTTGTTGAAGTCCACAGGTTGCTTCTGATTCAAAAATGTTTGGATATTGGAGCACTGGCCATAATATAGCAATGGATCATTATTCATAAATTGAATATGTACCTTGAATGGTATATTTATCTACCAAGTAGAGGGTGAAGTATCCTATGGTAGAATATTATACCACTGGTGATGCCAATTGCCTTTGAATTTGTTTTTGGGTGGGGGTTGGTAGGTCTGGCTTTATTTTTTTATTTTCAAAGATAAATGCTGATTATCTTTCATTTGTAAATATATGATGTTTTTTTTAATAATAATAATAATTTTATAATTTACTGTGGGATTACTTTGAATACTGGGATGTAAAGATTATCAAAAATTTCTCAGCGTATAATGCACCTTGATTTGCGAATCTCTCATTTTAATGGGGAAATCTCCCATCTAACATTTGAATTCCTTGTGAATAATGCCACTTGATATACTTGTAGCAGTGAAGCTAGAAATTAAAGTTGTTAAGCATGGTTGTAGAGGGAAGGAGCTAGAAATGACCCAAAGGACCAAAATGTCCTCAAGTAGTGGTTGGTTTTGCCATCACTTTTTACCTATATCCATCCTAAAATGCTCCTTCTATAGACTGGAGTTTTGAATTTTAAAAATAGTTATGATCCCAAGGCATCTTTGTTCATCTCCGGTGATCTAATTCCATCTAAAGAAACTAAGGTCAACTTAGGTGGGCTATGATTATTTTTTTTTTGCTGACAGTAGTGGTTTCCAGTTTATTTTTGGCATAGAAAGATTAAAGGATGCTAGGTGCAGTAGGAAATAGCAAATAGCTTTAAACTGGTTTGCCATCTTTAATTGAGGACCAGGCATATAAGAAAACATCAGATAACTTTTAACTGGTTTGTCATCTCTAATGGAGGACGGGGTGTATAGGAAAATAAAAAGGGCCCATTGTCATGACTTCAGAAGGATGTCTTCACCAAAATATGTGATTAAACTGTTTCAAGGAGGGTATTTTTTCTCTCCACTTATTAAAAATGGTGTTACCCAATATTTCTGTGTGAAATGTGCAGAAGTGGAACCTAACTAGAATGGGTTGTGATTTTACATAGGTTTACTTTGGAGTCAACAGAATTCAACTTGGTGAAGCTTCCTTATTATTCAGCCAGCACGCAGAACCCATGTTGAAACTTGCGCAAGAATCAGACATTTATCAATGGATTTTCATCAGAAATGATAATACCTCAGATCTGCTAAAGTGCTCAAAAGCCTTCTCATTTTTATTGTTCCTTTGGTAGGTCTGTGCTATAACTGGATTTCAACATATCAGTAAAGTTTTGATATCTTTGAAAACTTCTTTTAAAAAAAGAGTTAATGCCACATGTTCTGTCTAAAGTGTTCTTGATTGTGCATTTATTCTGTGAGCAACAATACAGTTCTTATCCCACTCTGCAAGTTGTTTTTCTTTGCATCTCGCCTTGCCCTTTCACTATACTGAAGAAATAAATCCCATCGATGAAAATCACTATCAATGGGGATTAATTACATAGTGAATTTTGCAATTAAAAAAAAACACCAAAAAGATTGTTGGGGCATAAAATCCTAACAAGACATCTGTTAAATTACTTTCCGGGTGTGTTTGTGTGTGAATGTGTGCCCACATTGGGCTTTTTCTCAGACCCGTGACTGTCTGCAGTACTTTGGCAGGAAGAATAAAAACATTATCAATCAGTATCCAACAGCAGCTGTTTTGACAGATTTCTGTCAGACATCTAATGCTTTACAACTGTCAGTGGCTCCTTTTGTCTACCGGCTCTAAGATATTCATTGTGTTGCTTCCATCCTGTGCCAATATCTTTTTTGAACATTAAAGAAGTGTTCAGTACTTTTCTCTTTTTGCCCACTCTTCTCAGTTATTACACACCACATGGTGCAGCTTGAATGTTCAAATACTGTAAACAGAAATATGTGTTGTCTTATTAAGCTTCTTGCTTTTCATTATTTATAGAAGTTAACTGATTTAATACTTCTCTCACTAACACAGTTGCCACCCTCCCCAGTTTTTGCAATAGCAATTAATTAATATTATGAAGGTTTGTTTCTCACTGTAGATAAAAGCAATGATAATCAATAGCTAACCCACCATATTTCCCCGACTTTCTACTAAAAATACAACATTGAGACTTATTTGACAAATTCTTGCAGGCAACTCCTCTGTGGGAAGAATGTATAGTTGATGTTAACCAAAGTAGAAATAAATACCATGTAGAACACTTCCATATGAATGTTTTCATCAATATTCACATTTAGGGTTGTCTTAATTTATTCATTTCTTCAGCATTACTCATTGGTGACAGTCTCCTCTGTTAGCCCAATTGAAATGCCCTAATGAATTGTGAAAGTTTAGCCACTATTTCAGTACAATCTTCACGGCCTTTATTGAAGTCATCCTCTATAAAGGTAATGTAACAATAAAATCTGGTGTAAAGATTTTTCCCAGCAAAGAAAACCTTGTGTATGTGCATTTGTTACTCAAGAAAAAAATGTTGCCCATGGATGCAAAATCCAATAAATCTTAATAATAATAATAACAACAATAATAATAACTTTATTTTTATACCCCTCCTCCATCTCCCCAAGGGGACTCGGGGAAGCTTACAAAGGTACAAGCACAAAGAACACGGAGTTAAAACCATCAATCAAAACAAAACAAAACAAAGAGCATATCACAATAAAATAATAACATCATAAAAACAGTACCATGCCGAGCAATAAAGTGCAGAGTTCAGAGGGCTCTGAGTTCGTGCAAAATTCCTATATAGCGCTGTGGGAAAGTGCAAAATTCAGTAAGGCAGGGCTGGGAGAATAGTGTTCTTGGGTGTTAAAATGTCAGAATTATAGAGTGGAGGACCATGCTAAAGTGGTATCAGAGGCAGAAATAGCATGAAAACCTACAATTAGGTAACAACTTAGGTAACATTGGCCAATTCTTTGGAATGGCCTAGTCACAGGCACAGTGGAACATACATGTTTTTAGATTCTTGCAGGTGGTGTAGGTGCCAGTCTGATCTCCCTAGGTAGAGAGTTCCAGAGCCGGGGGCCACCACCGAAAAGGCCCTCTTCCTTGTCCCCACCAGCCACACTTGCAAAACTTAGACTATCAATCAGGAATCCCTTGTCCTATTTAACAAAGCTTCCTGGGGGAAAATCTGTTGTATGTGATTTTTGATATAAAGTAGAGTCACTTATCCAACATAACCAGGATGGCAGAACGTTGGATAAGTGAAAATGTTAGATTATGTTAGATATAAGGAGGGATTAAGGAAAAGCCTATTAAACATCAAATTGCATTATGATTTTACAAATTAAGCACCAAAACATCATGTTTTATAACAATTGACAGAAAAATTAGTTCAGTACACGGTAATGTTATGTAGTAATTACTGTATTTACGAATTTAGCACCAAAACATCGCAATGTATTGAAACAGCTGTGGATCTGGGTAGGAGACAGACTGCGTTGGATAATACAGAACGTTGGATGGGTAAAAGTTGGATAAGCAAGACTCTATGCTCCTTCATAAGTTCTTATAATAAATCCAAAGCTATACATCCAATTGTCATTAAACCCAATGAATCAAATTGAATTTGGTAAGTCAACATCTACCTAAATTCAAAGACTTACTCTAATTGGGACTAATTATTAGATTGAAATTGAAGGCTTCTTGTACCTCAAATGCTAGAGTGATTTTTAAAATATGTTCTCAGGATTATTTCAAAATATTTCATAAAATAGGAAACAGAACTTTTCAGTATTGAAGTATCAGCCAGAGAAAATGGCGTGTGAAATCAGAGCTGCCTTAGATCCTGTCCCAGGAAGGTGGTGGGGTATAAATTCAATAAGTAAACAACCAAAATCCAGAAGATTGCTCAAACTCTCACAAAAGGGTTTCGACTGAACCAAATGGAATGCAAGTGGAGCTCTGTTAACAAGTTGGTATGTTCTTGGACATTACTTCTTTAACAGAAAATTTGGTATCAGAGGCAGAAATAGCATGAAAACCTACAATTAGGTTCCTATGCCACAAGAAGGAAGAGCCATTGAAGTTTCAGGCAATGTTTCCTGTCAAAAACTACCAATATGCACATACCAAATGAAAATTAAACAGGTCAGGTAAGCCTTGCATGATTTAACAGTTTTTAACCTTTCTAGAGAACGGCCTTTTCCCCCTTAACTTCCACTTATTTCAAATTTTGTCTATAAGGGGGTGGGGGAGTTAACATGCAGGTGATGGCTGGTGAGATGGGCGAATCTGTTTCTCCTGTTTCTCTATGTTTTATTATTCACACGTGTTCAGTAAAGGATTCTTATTATAGACATGCACAGCTATAGTATACAGTTGGCCCTCCATATCCATGAATTCTGCATCCATGGATTCAACAATTCATGGCTTGAAAACATTAAAATAATTTCCAAAAGCAAACCTTGTCATATGGAAGAGAAAGCAGGGTTTGTTTATGTGTGTCTTTTTTTTTTTTTTTGCTGATCCAAAAACTAAGACAGAACAACAGGTTCAATTTACAGGAAAAGGGATTCCACCTAAACTTTAGGAAGAAATCCCTGATTGTAAGAGCTATTTGACAGTGAATGAGCTGTCTTCGAGTGTGGTGAAGTCTTTTTTTTGGAGAGAATTAAACAGCGACTGTCCGTCCATCCACTGGAAGTGCTTTGATTGTCTATTCCTGCATAGCAGGAGATTTGGGGAGGATGGCCCTTATGATCTCTTCTAACTCTATGCTTCTGTGATTTTGCCATTGATATAAGAGACATCATTGTGCTATATCACTGTCTTTAATGGGACATGGGCACCCACGAATGTTGGTATGCATGGGAGGGGAGTTCCTGGAACCAAACCCTAATGGATACCGAGGGCCTACTGTTTTGGCTAGAGCAGAATCCAGTTCAAGTTGGTTACGTTTATTTCAGACATGCTTCTGCAACCCCAAAAGTCTATTATTGTGTTTATTTATATCCCACTTTTTCTCTCCACAAGGAGATTCAAAGTGCCTATTGGTTAGCATAAAAACTTTATAAACAGAAGCTTCTTTGCCAGAGGTTTTAACTGAGATATCTGACACTTGGACACAAAAAACTTGAATACATAAGAGGCAGTCCCTATCATAAACTCCTTCAACTTGAAAAGTCGCTTGCTATGGGTGTAGAGAACTACTGTCCAAAAAAAGAGTGTAGTTTTTACTGCTGGGGAACCTGATGCTCCACAAATGTTCAATTGCTATTCCCATCAGCCCTAGCAGGTCTGAACAAAGGTGAGGTATAATGGGAAAAAGTACTTCATCAACATTTGGAGGGCCAAATGTTACTTCAGAGCCTTGCCAATTTATTTAAATATAGTCAGTGAATATATAATACTGTACTCATAACATTTGTCTACAGAAGGTGTGTGAAGTTAAACACTAAAGTGTAAACAAGTTAAATTTCCTGAAAGCAGAACTTCCTGAGAAGGGAAAATATAACTTGGGTAATGTAACATCATGTTACAAGTTTCTCTGCTTCTAAAGAAGGCAAGTGGAGGGCATGTAACTCCTAACACACTGTCATCACTTCACAAATGTTGAACTTCTCAATGACACCGGCTGCTTCACAGAGAAGCCATCTGCATATTATTTGTTGCACATGCTAACTCACTATACATGCATGTATATTGCTGCATGCCAGGTACATGCATTTTCAGTGCTTCTAATGATGAAGATGAGATGCTTCCCAGATAAAGGACACATCATGTGTTAACTACACCCACATGACACTGTATCTGAAAGCTTTGATCTTTTACATTCTAGAATTCTTTCCATTATTACTGTGGTTGACATCTGATTTTCTAAAGAGCTGTAGTGACATTGAACTTCAACCATAAGGTACTTCCCTTCTTCCTTGTTACAAAGCCGAGTCTTTGTGTGCATACAGCTAACTGTTTATCAAGTGGTAACCTGCCACAGTCTGCAAACAGCCATTTGGTCTGTCAGTTTTCTATAATCACTTCAACACTTTGTTAGGATAATTCTACCATGTATCTGAACTTATTCAGAGTGATGCGAGAACTCGGTAATCAGCCAAGTTGTTAGCTAGTCCGTTTATGATTTGCTTACATAAACGCCATTATATTTCATTAGTAGTGGCATATGTATACAAACTGGTGAATACATAAATGGCATTCAGACCTTTCTTACGGTCTGCCTTCCAAGTCATTTATGGCTACAGCAACCCTAAGACAACTCTATCATGGGATTCTCTTGGTGAGGTGTGTCCTCTCTGTGTTTGACATTGCCTTCCAAAGAAAGCAAGTGGAGGGCATGTAACTCCTAACACACTGTCATCACTTCACAAATGTTGAACTTCTCCCCTTGGGGAGATAGGGTGGAATACAAATAAAGTCTTGGTATTCTGCTTCCTCTGAGGCTAAGAATGTGATTTGCCCAAGGTCTCTTTCTTTAGAAGGCAATGACC